CCGTGAGGGGATCGGGCCGTGAGGGGTTCGGGGAAGTCGGGAACAAGGACGAGAAGGGGGCAGCTGCCCCTCAAGGACGCCGCGATCCCAGGGAGGGTYAAGCTGCTGAAGCGTCTCCGCTCCAATGGGTCCGTAAATGTTAACCCGTTCTCAGTGACGAGTGATTGAGAATCAACAGGATTTWTGTCTAATTATTGCGAGCTGAGTAATATATCAAGGAAAAAACAACATGCTAAGACCCCATTGAGCACTTGGCCTTGGCCTTTCCTAAGTGTAGTTTGAGCATGAAGTGTTCTTTATTACGAACTTTTCTGCACATAATTCCCTCACTGTACCATAAAACAATATTTTTTCTGGAAGATGTTAATCTTTTCCCTCACACTCGAAATGAAACTCAGCTGTAGAACAAACCAGCCAGGTTACATGTAAGTACATTGGACAGTCACCCCCAGCTCAGCTTGTTTGAGTTTTAATACACGTAGATGGAAGAGAAAAGGGAGAAAAGGATCTTTTGAAGTTGCTCTTTTGACAAAGGATAAACACAGTGTGAGTTGCATCATCAAATTTTTTGCCCAGGATGAACAGTCACCAATAATATACCTGAACACGAGCTGTGCACGGGCCAGTGTGATTTGAGTCAGCAAGGGAAAGAATTCCCTAAAAGCTGGACAACAGGATGTTCTTAAGATGAGCCAAAGCCGTCGGTATGAGCAATTAGGACATGTTTCCAAGCACACTTCTAAATAATGATATAGCAATACAATTGATCCAGTTTTTTAAATGCAGAGGCAGGTAGGATATTCAGTCTTCTGGTTTTATATACATTTTTAATGCATTTTATTGATCTAATTTTTTTTGAACTAAGTATTTTGATGATWTAACCAGGGTGCTCAGAAAAGAGCTTCTCTGGGGAGTTCTGTTCTTGTCCTTCAACGTCATTGCCTTTCTGTATTCTCACACAGTTTTCACTGGAGAGCACAGTTTAAAGCAGTGAGTTTGAGAATATCTGCAATGTTCAGTATTTGAGCCCTGAGCACGCTGAGAGCCTGTGCAAGCCCCATTCACGTTGCACAAGCGCCATCCAGTGGCGCACAAAACGCTGCCTTCTACCACATGTGAGCGGGGCTGCTGCCTGAATTTATTTCTACTAACATAACACTCAAAACAGCGATGTTATTTTCAGACGAATGAAACCACTAAGTTCTTGAAAGAATACAGTGGCAGCATGCATAGAATAAACAGGCATTTTACTGCTGGCCCCCACATTTCCCCAACTGTATAAAGACTATTMTTTTTATTTTGGAAACCAGCTTAAATTTATATATGTCTAGTAATTAGGAGAGGGGGTCAATCTAATCAGTCTAATCACTCCACACTTCAACAAATTTTAACTCTGGTAGTRGCTTTAAGCATTCTGAACTGATAAGAAGTTTCAGAAAAGTGGTGTGAYTTGTTTCAAAATGTCAGGGATTTTTTTTCGGATGAAGTAATTAAGATACTAAGCTTAAACTAGAGTTCTTCAAGAACATGCAAGAACTAATTTCATTTGTATGAACTACAAAGTTTATCTGGTAACTTGCATATTCACACAGGAAAAAGATCTACTTCTCTATTGCAATATTGCACAGGATCATAAAGAAAAACGTTTCATCTAATTGAACAGTTGTATGCAAATAAAGCTTCACTAAAGCAGTATTGCTTTCASTCTGTGTATGGGCTTACAGAGTTCAATTATTTTGCAGACTGAAAACTCCATGGACCACTCAGACCCATCGTCGTGGTTTTGGGATTTGACCAGAGGCTGGTTTCATTYGGTAAGCTCAACTCAACTATTCAATTATTCAAATATTTCTGAGAACAAAGCAGCTATGGCACAATGGGGCCTCACACTACACGTATAAGACAGAAGCAAGTAGAGTTGAGTAGTAGTCAACATCTTAAAGGGAAGCATTTTGAAAAATAAATCCATACCTTTTGTTTTTGCTTCATTATTCGTTATTTTTACTTCTCTATCAGCACATCACTCCCCCTGTTTTGTTTGATGCAGACATGCCTCTTAGAATTGGCAGATTTTCTTGTTTTAATTGACTTTTGGTTACCTAGAGACCCAGGCCATATCACTGATGTTTTGGGTTCGKTTTTTTTCCTCCAAAAGCACACTCAAAAGCAAGGTATTTAAGTTTGGTTTGTGGCATTTATTAGCAAAAATCAGACCTTTAGCACTGGCAACAGCAGACKTATTTCCTGAGCCAGAAACTTCAAAGGGTTCAGGTTAACAGGTACAMGGAGTCAGTTCTTTATAGAGCCATCGCTGGACTTGAGGCTCCTCTGCAGAGCTGCCCTGCAGGCAGCATCCAGCACAYCACAGACTCAAGCTCTCTTGAAGACCTGTCTACATACTTGATTCTCACAACGAAGCTCCTACCAAAAAAAAACCAAACCCTAAAATTAAAAAAAAAAGCTCAGAAAAGAAAAGAAACAAAAATATAGCGATATATGGTAATCAAAGGAACTGCTWCCAAAATTGAACATAAATCCTTTGCCATCACTCTGGCCATGATAATGACTTACACTTAACATTCCAAATTTAAGTACATATTATAGTGAAAACAATGAAACTGTTTGAAAGCAAAATGTGCACACTATGTACCATCCACTACACATCCTGCAGACCTAGAAGGCTTTTGCAGACCATGACCAACCCCATTGTAAATCTAATTTTTGTCATATAGAGACATAATTAGTAGAAATCTGAAGTCARTACCAGGTGGAGGTCATCTCCTTCMAGCCAGTGAGTCCAGCCCCTGTTCTTCTTCTCACCAGTCTGGACACAGACAAGTTTGTCATTTTCCCAGGTAACAAGGCTCTGTGGAACAGGGAAAAAAAAAGTATTTCTGCATGTCTGTCTCAGTTATCTGCAAAATACTTGTAGAAAATGTCCATTTTCCTGGATAAAAGAGCACCTAGATATTACTTCTGAGAAAAACTCCTTGTCTGTAACTCAGGCTCCTACTACTGTCTTGCACTACAAATATTATTCTTGAAACAATTTCAGCTCAAGTATCTGGATTGATCATGGCATCTTAATTTTGTCACAGCCTCTTATTATTCACTCTTACCTTGCATTTTCTGTTATCCAAGCCTTTATTATCTTCTTCAAACTCTTGTCCAACTTTGAATTCAAGCAAATAATCTCTGAATGTGCTAGTGGTATGGATGTAGAATGAATCACCATCTTGCTTGATCACTTTCTGAGGCTTCAGCACTTTTGCTATTTTGCGTGTTGCAAAGTCAATACCTTGGACAGAAGGCAAAAGGGTCAGAGTTGGATTTATCACCAGCCATTTTTGCAGCCAGGATTTAAACTTTATTGCTACCAGGAAGCATTTCTTAGGTAGTTTGACCTTACTGTTACGCAGCATTTTGTTGTCTTATTAGAACCTATTGTCTAAAGCTGCATGTTACACGGACTAAGTAATTMTTTTGTACTTTTTACTCTTTGAAAACCCATTTATTCAATTGTTGCACAATTCCTAAGTAAGCGTTCCAGGAGTTCTTTGAGTTAGAAGACTCCTGGAGAGAGTTGGTTTCACCCAGAGACACCCAAGCTTGGTTTCAAACTTAAGTCCCACTAAGCAAGAGGTTAATGCCTATTCTCATYCTTTGGGCAATGAAAGAATTAGCAAAAACTCTCTGCACCCTACAYCTTAAATAGTGTGAAATGGAGGACAGTCCTTAAAATTCAAGAAGACCCTTCTGGGTGAAGGGAGAAAGGACAGAATCAGGTATTCTCACCTACCTAAGGCCACCATATAGCCTTCGAAGTTGTCATTGCTGACGAGGTTCCAGGTTCCACTGAAATCCACAGGCATTGCCAGACAGTCCAAGGAAGATCCAGTCAAAAATGCAAAAGTAGTTTTCTAGCCAGGGCTTTTATAAGGCAGCCTGTGGGTGGGATTACACCCCAGGACCTTTCTGCTGGAGAGGAAGGGTGCTGCTGCTGAGCCACTGGGTGAGAGKGTATTTGTAGAACGTGCTGGAGGGAAAAGTTCATCCTGTCTGAAAYTCTGAAATCTTTGTGTGGAGCAAATGTTAATGGCCCAAGAGCCACAATGCAAGCCAAAAACTGGTTTAAACCATTTATGTCCATCTTGTATACTTTAAAGGGACTGTCGTTGTTACTAAGATTTTCTGCATGTTTATTAGATTTGGGACTTTATGATCTGAAATCCAGGTATTTGTTTAAAAGGTGATGTACCCCTTAAAAACATGCTGTACTTGAACAGACAGGGATCGACTGCTAAGCTGTGGATTGTATTATATCAACAAATTCTAAAGCAAAACCCMTGACACAGAGATAAGAATTGTATCATCTTGGTTTGTTTGGAGTGAATAGGAAGCAGAATTAAAAAAATTATCTTGTGTATAYAGGAGATGCAGCTCCCGCCTTTGCTTTCTATTCTTGACACATAAAGGAGAGCTGATACAGGAGTTGTTCCCACTGATCCTTTATTAGATGCTACACATTGTGGCAGAGCACACAGGCAGTAGAGAACAGGATGCAGCAGATAAGCTTCAGTGTGGGACTTCACCTTCAGCAAAGAAGTGATAGAAATCCCTAAAGATCCAGCAATGTGTTTTGAAAAGTGAATAAAAGAYGCTTGACTTTGAAGACAAAGGATATAGGAAATTTTCAAGTGAGGAAATAAGGGATTTACATGTGAGGAAACACACCTATAGCTACATTTATTTATTTACTGACTCGTGTTAAGCTGAATAAAAGGATAACACTTTGCAGAGAAGTCTCCCCGAACTTTAGCTCCATTTTTGGAGCTGGCAGATTGACCCTCATGACTCACAGGATCATGCGAGTAGGAACTCAGGACGTCAGAGCTTCTTTCCTGTTTGCAGCTGGATATTGTTCTCTAACCGACACTAAACCAAGAATGGCACAGACARATGAAAATTACTGTTTCCTCTGGACTCAGATGGTAACATTTCACCCATAATTTGGTGTTAGGGGGTTATGGTAGTAAAGCACTGTTGCAATACTCAGTTCAGTGCACTGAGACCAAATGTTGAAATGTGCAAATCTTATTATTGGACTTGAAAAAGGTTTCGTAGGTCCAATCACTGAGTGCACCAAACCTCATCAGTAACTACAGATGCATGGAATTAGCCAACCAATCCCTAGAAAACACACTTCCCTGTACTGAAACGTAGTTTTTTCCACAGCAGACTGTGGCTGCTTAGTGCCTGCTAGTTCTTGGAGTCACTTGCATATTTCTGTAAGGGAGCCAAGACCACCCCAGCATTCCTGTCCTCRCTGTCAGGACTGTACAGGTTGTTCTTCTCGATATACGCCCGGACTCCATCGGGTACCAGGTAGCGAATGCTCTGGCCCCTCCGCAGAGCTCTCCGGATCTTGGTGGAGGAAATATCATTTGTGATCCATTCTTCCACAAGATGAATGTTATTCTTATGTCTCCACAAAATATCAGATTCGTAGATGAATTTCTGAACATTGTTTCCAGCCCTGCTGATACATACAAGGCCGTGTTTTTCCACAATTTCRGTGATGTCCTCCAACTTCCACAGATTGGGGATCCCAAAAGATTCCAGCATGTCACTTCCACAAAGCARTTTAACCTGTGGGACACCTGAAAGAGAAAATTCAGTGAGAAATAGGGCRTGGTTTAGGCCACCAGATTTTAGCAAACTTGACAGGGACATTTAATTTCTTGGCTCTCTCTCAGTAACTTGGTTAAGATGAGAAATAAAAAAAAATATTCAGAGAATTTAATTTATAATTAGTAGCCTCAATACAAAATTTTTCTGAATCAAGGTTATGGGAATCCCTTCATTAAAAGGATCTCCTGCCTTATGCTGTGWAATCTACGGAGTGACATCAAACCAAGGGACACCACAAAAGTTACTCATCAGTGCAACTCTCTTGAAATAACAAGTATCATTAACCATTTAATTTGCAAACAGACTTAACTTTTTACATCTGGACTCWGATTTTTCTTTTTAATGGGGTCATGCCTATTTGGTTCCTGTTTCCTCTTTCGTCCCAGCTTTGTTAAKGGTACAGCATCCTGCAGATTATTAGTGACATCGGGAGATAAAAGCTTTTGATGATGATACCTGCAAAACAGATGTATTTTAGATATTTCAAAGATGTAGGAGAAAATAGGGTAGCAGGGCCTACTAAATAACCTATCTCCACTTCTYCCTGCAGTGCTTTCACAGACAGGCCAACCAAAAACTGATCTGCAGAAACAGGGACTTGGGAGAGCTTGGTCATGTGGTGGTCAAAGTGCAAAGATTTCAAAGCAACAAAAAGATTCGTTTKTTTCTTCTTAAATAAAAATTCATTTTAACAATAAGAATCTCAGTAAAGTAGCAAYGACTGAAGGAGTAATACTCAGAAAATACTCATTCAGACAATACTTATGCCAGTCTTKAAATACATAAATGGGCAGCACAGCACAATCAGGGCCAGAGGAGGGAAGCTTGTGGAGCATGTCTGCCCTGTTCCAGTCTCCGTCCTTCCCCATGAGCACCATTTCTGCACAAAAATTGAATAATGCCCAAGAAATGATATATCCTAAAAAGTGTTCACAGGCTCATTTTTGGTCTGTTTAGGACTAATGATGCAATCCTTCATTTTCAGTGCTCATATCAATGGTATTTCTGAATTCAGTGAGTCTGTTCGTATGATTTGGGGTCAGTTAGCCTGCAATTATCCCAACTTGTTAGAGTTAATACCATTCCTGATCCTTCTATAGGTTCATGAGACTTGTTAGAGGTGGCTGAAGAATACCTTAGAACTTTTAGTGTTTCCAGCCACTCACTCTGGCAGCTTTCCCAATCATCAACCTCCACCCAATCAGAGTTTTTTGTAGCCAATTTTGCCATGGTCACTCGGTGATTTGCACTGATCAGACCTTTCTTCTTATATGCATCGCCCACTGGTGAAATGATGCCTTTGATTACTTTGTATTTTCCTGTGGGAAAAAACACAACACACAAGAACATGAGAAGTGGTTGAGCAGATGTTACTTCCCCTGCATTGGATTTAACCTGTGACAGAACCATTATCCAGTGCAATGGCAGCTGATTGCCAGCCCAGTGGAAAAGTACAGAACACTCGTGCTCTGTCAGGCCAGCACAATGAAAGAGTTAGTAAGATAGATTAGAAAGATATATGTCTATAAACAAACTATAAAGCCTGTCCTTTGGCTCACTAAAATCAGGAACAACTAACACGTATGTAAGACAGTTCTCTCATGTTGTCCTACATGTTTTTTAAGACATAAATATATACCAGCTTCAATATCTAATTAGCATTTCCAAAAATATCTGTCACTGTCAAATAAAATATTCACCTTAATTAAGTGTCTGGTTATCAAAGCTATTCTGAATGATAGAAATCACCATCCTACCTGTTTCATGGAAGTAGTCTTTAGCCAGCTCAAAGAGCCTCAGGTGCATGTTGGTGATGGGATTGAAGGACCCACAGGCCAGCAGTACCACTTCAGTCTTCCTGTCAGCATCTTCCATGGCCATTTCTCCCAGCCACGGAGCCAAGTGGAGAATGTTGGTGCCAGGCACCAGCCACTACAAGAAACTGGATTAAGAACGAGTTACAGTTACGTATTTGTGCTGCCAATAAGCAGAAGATAAAATTTCAAGATCAAATTGAACACTATATTTTTCTTCAATCAACACGTGACCCGTGATTGTTTATGTGATATTTCATTCTGATTTTTAAGTGATTAAAATATGTTSTTCCCTAAGAGTATCTTGCTAAGATATTTCCCCACAGCCTGGCCTAACAGAGCAGAATGGGAATGGGCCAWTCTTCTGCTGTTGCTGTTTGTGAGATGTTTGAGCCGTCCTGAGTAGCACAGAATTGTCTGCCATTGTTTCTATAGCAATATCACCACCTGTAAAAATCCCCCAAAGTCACCCTCATGTTCTGTCTCCCTTACAGTGAGTGATGTTCACAGCAGCCACAGCGCTGAGACACCATCACAGCCAAACCTTGTAACGGTGACTGTCCTAACATCAAACAGAGCTCGGATAAAAGCAGCTCTTGCAAGGCTTCACATTTTGTAAGTGTGAGTACTTCTCTGTGCTTTCAAGAGTTTCACAAACTTTTAAAATATTCTTTATTACTGCAGAGTAGCTCAGCAGTGGAAGGGCTGGTGGTACTTGAAACACAGCCTTCACARGGGCATGGCTAAGAGAGTTACTATGGGAACAGGGAGGAGAGGAATTAAGACTGCTTTTGTAATGCACAAATCCTACTTTAAACAGAGTGACTCATGCTGCAAAACTGAAAAAGGTTCATTTTTTCCTTAAAAAAGTGCAAAAAAAGTAGAAAATTTTAAGATAAAAATACACAGTGCCTTTTTGGGAGTTAGCCAAATGTCCCTTTCTATGCTGCTAATTTAGCAGTTTTCAGAAACAGGCAATTATTGCCTCATAAACTCATCTTGCAGCACTCCATATCAACTAGAAATCAGTAAAATCTCTTYACAAAGACTTAAGATGAGAAAATAAAGTAAAATGACCTTCACTGAAGTTTTCTGTAAGTATAGGGCACACACCCTGCGTAATTTTCCCTTCTTCTGAAGGGAAAAATAAGTGCCCTCTGATGCACTCCTTACACACATGCTTATATGTAATCTCATCATGCTTTTACATAATCCTACCRGTTTTTAGTGTGTCTTGATCTCAGTCCTGCCAGTGCTTAGCTGGATCGGACACGTATGTGCACTAAAAAACATCAAAGTATGCCTACAGCCCGTCTTGGGATGGCTCTGGAGCCCAACCTGCCAGTCAGCGTCCGAGGATAAGCAGATAAGGATGCTTTGCTCAATCTCATTTCTGTTTCAGAGGCAAATATTTATCAAATATGTTTAACTATCTGTACATATATAGATGATAACCATGATGTGGGCGTCTCTGGATGCTTCAGTAACACCCTCCCGCAGCTCCCCGCCCCGAGGGCCTGCACGGGGGTCCGGTCCCCGCCCAGCGAGCACCCGCTGCCGCTGCCCATCCATCCCCGGTGGGCCCGGTCCCCGCTCAGGCTGGGCGCTGTCCCCGCTGTTCTCCCCGCTGTCCCACTCACGCCGGGCGCTGTCCCCGCTGTTCTCCCCGCTGTCCCACTCAAGCCGGGCGCTATCCCCGCCGCTCTCCCCGCTGTCCCCGCCGCTCGCCCGGGCTCTCCCCGCGGCTCTCCCCGCTGTCCCCGCTGTCCCCGCCGCTGTCCCCGCTCGGCCGGGTTCGCGGGCCCGCCCGCTCTCATTGGCCCGGGCGCGGCGGAAGCGGCACCGGAGGGACGGGATGAGCCCGCCCAGACGCGGCCTGCCCGGCTGAGGGGTGAGGGGCCCGGGGCCACACGGGTGGTGGGGATGAGCGGAACCCGAGCCTGTCCTGGGAACGGCCAGGCGGGCTCCGGTAGCGCCCGAGTTCCGCCTTTTCCTCCTCGCAGGCCGCTTGGCGATCCGCGCTCGCCCCTTTCCGGAGGGAGGGCCGCGGTTCCTCGCCGCCCGCCGGCGGTGGAGCGGCCCCTCAGAGCCGCATCTGTGGCCGGGATGTGCCGCTGGCTGCCGGCGGTGGAGCGGCCCCTCAGAGCCGC